ATACAATACAACACTCAGTATAAAACAATCAAACAACACTCACCACATCATTAAGAACAGGTCTGGTCATCATCACATGTCCCCTTCAAGGCTAAGGTGCCTCTTAAGGTGGAGTAGAGACATCAACCTGAGTCCCATACAGACTTTGGAGAATATGAAGAGTAGGGACTGGTGGTGTAGCCTTTGTCCTGGCCTTAGAGATGGTGAGTAAAACGGTTGCCAGATACAGTAATATCTCTGTTAGCCAGAATCCCTCTTAACCGGAACTCTCCGATAGCCGGAATTGAAATTTTCTAGAATTTTTCCCCAAATTGTTGACTCTCTCTTTAGTTTTTGCCATTGTTTTCACACATTTTTCTTTGTTTATTATTCCATTGACTTATATAAGTGTCTAGATATTGTGTGTTATGGCAGTTACAGAATTTTGCTAGCATATACAGTACTGGATTGTACCAGCCTATACATTATAGATCTTTGTAATATTATACCGAATTATAAAACTATATTTTAAAACAACCATATCTTTCAGTATGATGGTAGATGTTCAGACATTTATTGTATCCACAGAAGGGAATTTATTATGTAGTTCACACACGTGACACAAGTTTGAACAAGTGAAATATCATAAAAATGACAAACAAACACTGTATAAACACTCATATGAACACATACACTTATAAAACTTTTCACAATACTTTTCATCACCTTTACAGATAGTTATTATGCAGTTCACACAAGTGAATCTTACAGGTTTGAACAAGTGAAATATTGTAAAATAAACAATAAACACTCTATAAACACCCAGAAGGACACTTATAAAACATTTCACACTTTCATCACTTTTACAAATAGCATAGACGTTAATGGCACATTTTACACACTTGACGGTTAAAAATTTGAATACTGAACTTAAAACATAAATAAATGAATGCTTTGTAAACTCTTATAAACACTTTACAGGCTAATATTACTGTACAATGGCCAGCATAAGTGTGTGGAGTGAATATTAAGATAAAATTTAAAGGGCTCACTCATGCAGCCTTCTAGCTTCACTGCTGGGACAACACTGATATTTTATGGTTGGTATCAGGGCTGACGAGATTTCCGACTTTTGTTTACTGAACACGCTGATTGGTTCAACTGCTCGCGTTGTGATTGGTTGCGAGAACATGAGTCCATGACGTAATATTACAATTTCCTATAATAGAATGTGTGGCGAGGGGTAACGAAGATCCCAGATACGTACAGTAATTATATTAGAGTAGTCCTCATACTCAGTGAATTTCATTATTCCTGTCATTAGTTTTTTAAATTTCTGAATAATAACACTGCATTATACACCATTCAGAGTGTTATATGAGATCACATTAGATTTGTATTTTATCAATTGTAATTTGTATTACTTTAGTTCTGCTAAAATATCGCTAGTAAAATGTAGGTAAGGTAATTAAATACATCTACAATTTATTTCTGTGTATTCTATATGGTATTTTAGCCATGAAAAAGCATATTTCCTAAAGTCGGTAATTTACCGACAGTCGGAGCAGTGACGTCACGGCTTACCGACTACGTCATCAATTTACCGATTAACAGACGAAATACTGGGTTTGAACCAATCAGCGTGTTCGATAAACAAGAGTCGGAAATTACGACAGCCCTGGTTGGCATGCTATGGACTGTTGCCAAGTAACCAATTAGTGATGGATTACCAATGAGAGAGGAGGCCTACCAGAATGACGCGCCAAAATCTCAAGTGTCAATTGGAATTATTTGATTTTTCATGATTTTTTTCTCTTAAATGTTGCTATGGGGTGTCAGTGCCAATTGGACAAGATTATCATTGATGCCTGTATGTGTCATGGTGAGTGAGTGAGTTAACACTAAAAAAAAAAGATTGCTGCCACAAAACTGATAACCTGTAATATATTAATAAAAACTGACTATATCAACTATGAACTCCAAAACAAACGAGAGGAAAGATAAAGCAGACATGAGTCAGCTGGCTCTGAGTAGATGGTAAAGGTGTTGGCCTAAAGCACAACAGTGAGGAATGTCTCCAGGATAACCCTATCAATAGAAGGAGATATTGGGATAGTTGAGGCCTGTTGGTTGACTAGCTCCTGGAGGTAACCATGGTATAAATGAAGTTCTGTATGTAACTGGATGAATAGCTACCGGTATTTTCACAGAAATTATATTTTCTGTGGGGAAAACTGTTTGTTCCCATTCATCACAGCATAACAAGACAGGTTATGTCATGTGGAATCTGACATAAAAGAATATCACTGAAGACCGATGACCATAAAAATTCAAGTTTGGTGACAATTTGGTAAGAACAGCAAACATTATTTCAACTTTATTTCACCACTGTATATATACCACATGATAGGTTCAGTAGTTAGCAAGTATTGCACATATTATTATGTATAAATTATCTGTTAGCAAAAAATATGAAATTATACTTTCAGATAACTAACAACAAATGATTAACAACATCCCTGAAAGGAAGAGGAACACCTTAAAATTAAATATATTCTTATTGCTTCTAGGTACATCAAAAAATAGATTCAGGACCTTAAAAAATAATTATTTTTTTACCATATTACACTGTACCCTCGTTAACTCGGATCGTTATAATTCAGATTTTGGCTTAATTTGTATGTTTCTTTTTTAATCAATTAAACAATTTGAATTTGGAATGAATCTGAAATTATTAACCAGTTCTTAAAAGTTGATTATTATTACAGGAATATACAATACTATAAAATAGATCAAGATGCATGAATTATAGGAAGAGAATATGAATTCTATTAAGATACTGTATAAAACTACGCTTGAGTGCGCAGCAGAGGAGAGCAGGTGGCAGGTGGAGGATAAGGTGGCAGGCTGGTGGAGTAGGAAGGAGAGAACAACTCACCACCTCCTGCTTGGCAGCCCGCAATCCCTTTATAATGACAGCATACAATTTCATCAACAATTCCCATATTATTTGGATTCATTTGGTGCCAGGTTAATAAAGTATTGTCAACAAATAATTATTTTCCCCCCATAATCCCATACTCAATCCCCGATGAGGTACTGCGCCATAGTATATTCCTCCCTTGTTTAGAAAGAGGTAACAGCTGATCATTCCTGCTCTCCTTCACAAAGTTGCCAGCACTCACCATCTCTAAGCACTGTTGTTGTCACTGCTCAAAGGGGTTGGTGCTTACCACAGGATCTGTCTTGAGCACTTAGTAAATAATATTGTAGCATATTTAACAGAACTTAATAAATATTATTGTAGTGTATAATGCATTTCCATATCCTCTGGTACATTCACTGACCAGTTGTCTAAGTGCAAAAGTAACCAAATCGAGCCATCATTTATCAATTAACTTTAAAACATAAATAATAAATTAAAATGCTTTAAGACAATGGTTTTGTAGTGCTGTTAATGTGTGTTCTGTGTAAGTGCCTTGTCATGTCACCTCACCCCTTGTCTCGTCTGCTCACCTCACAGTCTTAATTTATTTATTAATGTATTACTGTACTGTATTTACTTTATTATTACTGCATGTACATTTAAAAAATATTTATGTTTACACAATACGATAATTATAAAAATAGATTATTCCATGTGGCAGCCAAGGCATGGCCAGGTGCAAAAACTGAACATATTACCGAACACCTAAATTCGGAAATTGTTGAATAATATCAAAATACTGGATTCTGAACTCAGTTAATTCAGATTTTTCGGTAATTTGAGTGACCCAGTGTTCCTTTTTTGTCAAATTAACGGGGGTATAGTGTACAGTATTACTAATTCGTCCTTAATTTATCCCTGATTTTGATAAGGCACACTACTAATTATCTAAACACTAAGTTTGATAACATGGACAGTTCAAATTTTGTTTTCACTCAGAAAGTACCTTAAGTTTAGAGCGTTTACAATGAAGAAAATAATTATGTTGTGTCCATCAAATAAAATTGTAATTAAGAGTTAAAGATTTAATATTCAAGAAATACTATAAATATTCTAATGATGAGCTTCCTTATTTAACGAACACATTTTATTAATAAGCTCATGAATAACGTTTGAACATTATTTTATTATTAGTTTTGTATTCTGCTTCGTATGATTATTAACTTTCTCAACATACATTACAATATTGTCTAATTTTATGTGAGAAGCGATACAATCTACAAATGAGCTAATGTTTACCACAAACTTTAATTACCCAAAAGGGGGAGCTAATTCCTGTACTAAGCACTGAATGCTGCCAGTAGTCTAACGATATTCCCTTTAAAACTTGGACAAAAATAATAGTGATTAATTTTTTCCATACTGAATAGTAATGTATTTCCCAAGAAGTAGTTCTGGACTACATGATACATCTTTGTTGTTGTGACCTTCATCAGGAAGTTTCTGAGCAGTCTTTTAATTTACTGGTGGTTTAATTATAAAATGTATAACTACTGTATTTGTATATGTGAGAACGGAGCTTACCACTCATCATGTCAAAGCTCCAAACTATCTAATTCTTCTCACCTGGCTAGCATAAAGATGCTAGTATATTAGCCTCACTCATGCATATTAACATACGTACATAGGCGAACAAAGAGACTGTGTATTAAAAATTCTCATGCAGTCCATTCATGCAAAAAAGTTTTATTGCTGCAACAATTGCACTGATACTTGCATGATATTTCAAAATTTTCAAACACTTAGACAAATAATAATTCAATATAAAATATAACATTCAGGATATTCAGGTAAGGGGTACAAAAATACTTGTCAATGACACTTTATAAGGCAAGGTAGATATTTATGCTATATAACCATACAGCATGATACATAAACAATATAAAGACATCTTTCTACTTTGTACATTGTGCAAAGCAATGAAATCTAATGATCTAACAGACATGACTACTTCCACAATGCTACCTTATTTCATTTATGAATAAACAGTAGCACAAGGGTAATACATACAATCAAATTATTAGGTACTACTTACTTTTCTTCTAATTCAGAGCAGCGATGGGAGTCACTAGTAACTGTCTCATCACTGCCATCACTGTGATCACTTAAATCTGATGTCTTGACAAGAGGGGTTTCCACGGCCATGGATGAGGATATATGAGAACCTCTTGACTGACTGGAGATGGAAAGCTGGGCATTCATCTCTCGATTGACACCTTCTGGTGAAGACGTGTTCATTATTCCTGATGATATTGTTGTGTGAGCAGTTCCTGTAAGCATCCCGGATACAGTATTCACTAGTCCCGTGAGTGTGCCTGATACAGTCTGCCCAAGGGAACTAGTCTGTGCCCCAGTCACTGATGTTGTGGAATCAGTGAGTATTCCACTTTGCACAATTTTATATGTATCTCCATCTTCTAGAACTTCCCAACCAGAATTAAGTACATGTGGTGACACAGTATAGGTTGTTCCCTCAACATGCCCACTAACAAAGCCCACACCACATACTGGGGTACTTGTAGGGGCACACGGAGCATTGGAAAGTACATGAGATGGTGACTGTGGAGACTGAGGATCGGTGGGGAGGGAAGACATACAGGATACGAGTGTGTTAGTGGAACACTCACTTCCACACGGTGACGGAAGATTAACCAGCGTCCTTCCACTTCCATTGTCATCTGAAAAATAACAAAGAATACCTGTTTGTGTTCTTTTATCCATATAAAGACCTAAGTTGAGCATTCTGGTGCTGACAAAAAAGTTATTACAGTGCTCTGTATTTATCCTTCTTAATCAAAGTTCTTACTGGTAGTTGTTGTGCTTGTACTAAACTCACTAATTTGAAGGGGAAAAAATTTAAAAATCCTATGGTAGTCTCTCGTTAATTTACGGGTTAGGTACCAGAAGACATCTTGAATTAATAAATTGTGAATTTTTGTTTATTTGAATTAAATGGAAATAATGGGTTTGGTTCCAAAGGCCAAAAAATACCCATAAACTGTTCAAAAACTGCTTCAGTTAATAAACACTAAACATTGTACATAATACTGTACATAAAAAATACAGTAACACATAGATATTGTCCAAAAAGTAGTTCTATATCACATAAACAGCTTCTTTCCTTCTCATAATTTTGTGTGGGTTACGCCAATACACCAACATGGAGACAGGCAGGCGCTGGGCTGGCTGTGACCACATTATGTCAACAAAGAACCAGGAATTTCATACCACACAATATCTTATCTGGGGTTGAGTTTGGGATTTTCTGGGGTGAAAATTTATTAATTTACTATTGTATAATATTTTATTTACCAGGTACCATAATGAACCTAATTACTGGTAATATGGGAATTATGGTGAAATTGCATAATTTTGTATTAATGAGGTTGGAGGGGTGCACTTGGCTTGGGAATGGAGGGGGTTGAAGGGAGGGGACCCTCAGTCCACCATCCAACCATCTTGCCTCCCACAAACAATTTAGTTACTACAGTACTTTAGAATTTTCTTATTTTATAGTTTTATATTATATTTTCTTTATTTCTAAGTTACATTAGAGCAATGAAGTGATATTTATATTATATTTTCTTTATTTCCAAGTAAAATTACAGCAATGGTAGATACAGTACTGTATTTCCACAACTTCTATGAGCTCTTATGTAAACAAACACTGCAGCAGTCAGCACTCGGCTACGAAATATGAATATTTGACAGCACCATTTAAAAGAGGTAATAATAGAAGTATCAGAGAATTTAAGAACATGAATTTGTATTTTGGAATTATTAAGACTTCTGTACTGTATAGCAAAATTAGATCATGAGTCAATATTTCAAAGTAATATCACATTTTCTCACACACAATACAATGATATAACAGGTAATGCAATATTCTGTAAAATATAATGCCCTATCCCCAGAATTCAGTTTTATTACAGATTAATTAGCTGTTTTTTACTAAATGTTAAAGCATAATTATATAGATGTCATGACATCACATAAATGCTTGTTTAAAAAACATAAAAATTTATCAAAAGGAGGGGAACAATAATGAAAATATATTAAATTACTGTGCAGTAGTACATACAAGATGTCTTGGTCTCTTCCTTAAAAGTTAAAACAAAATAAGGACCTTCTAAGGTATAGAATGATTCTAAATTACATACAGTAAATTGCTGGGTGTATTCCTGGGATAATTCTAAGCCACAAAATGTCAGAATCTGCATAGTTTCCTAGCTACAGCACTTGAAAGAGATTGAGGTAATGAAAGTGAAGTTAGAGTGAAACAGCCATAGAGTTTTGTGTAATTTTATATACATATCTATACATAATATGATACAGAAGCAGAGGGAGGGAATTTTTAATAATTACTGTAATAATGCAACTGTATCAAATTGTACAATTATGTGCATAAAATTGAGAATCACCCTGTACAGTACACAGTAACTCTCCAGGGTTACAGAAGGGATGCTTCCTCGAAAAGTTGACCATAACGTGAAATTCCATAACATGATCCCCATTTTACCATTGACGTCCATTACTGTATATAACTGGAGATGCATTCCTAAAGAAATTTTTTTCGGCAAAAAGAAGTAATACAAGCACACTTATGAATGATATTTTTTTTTTGACTGCATACTGTACACTGATTATTTTATGATATATTATGCTAATAAATACAGTACACAAAACACTTGAATTTAACTCACCACTAAAAATGTTGAGTGCTGCATGAGGTGAGGTGGTGCAATGGGAATTATTGGGAGACGTAGCAGGCTCTAAAGTTTTTGCAATCTGGATACGTTTTTTCCTGCATCAAACTCCACAAAATAATAAGTTTTATATCCAATGTAATCCCTTGCAGGCTCTTTTAGCACCACTGCTTTCACTTGCACTTGATGGCCTCTTTCCACTCATCATGATAAAAGTAATACACTGGACAGTCTTGAATAAGATACGTATACAAAGATTAAATCCAAGAGCTGGGGTTGAAAGATCAAGCGTACATGTTGGGAGATACAGTATAAACAAACTGAGTGTAGTGGCATGAGTCCGCTGCATACCCAAGCTTGACAGTAGCAAACGCCAAGAAATCCACACCAAATAAATTATAATATCAGTTAAATTTATTCTTCTTCTATGGAGCAATTTTGGTGTTGAAATGTTTTAAATGTACCCCATTTTCGTAAGGTAAAATTTACGGGTCATATCCCAAATTTAGTGGTCAATTTACAAATTCCATATGGGTGAATTTACGCAACCTGCGTTTCCGTAACGTAGAGGATATCTGTCTAGGTAAAGAAAAGTTGGTATCAGAAGTTAATTGGAAAATTTCATTTGTGGTGTTATTCTGAATTCTAGTCTTGGTTAGTTTACATTCTTGAATTATGCATATAGTAGGATCTCAAGTTTTGCGACAAATTGGTACCGGTTTTAGCATCGCAAAATTTTAAATCACAAAACGAGTGACATTGAAATTACATGTAAATAAGCCGAACCCCTCTATAACGACCTACAACCCACCCAGAAAATAACATTTCTGTAATGTATTCATATGGGGTCAATGAATTGGTTGAAGGGTTCCGAGGCAGGGAGGGCTGGTTACTGAATCCTCGCTGCTCTCTCCTCTAACCTCAGCATCAAATCCCTCAAAATCTCGAGGAAGCTCTTCCACCAGCAAGTCACCCAACACTTCAATATTATCATCGGTGGTGCCATCATCATCTCCTAAAGTAATGTTTGCCAAGGCATTAATAACAGGCTGGGACTTGCACAGATGCAGAGTAATAAGGGCCTTATATTCCTTCATAACCTTATCAAGGACAGGGCAGATAAGGTTCCGAGGATGAGGTCTGGTATCGTATTCTTGTAGCTGCTCACTGAGACGTGCGATGGTTGTGAGGACCTCAGTCAGCTGTTGTGTTGTAGGTCCACCAGGCTTAACGTCACCCGCTTGTGTTGCTTGCTGTTCTTCTTGTTCTTCATCCTCCTCTAACATTTCTTCAAATGTCGGTTGCTGCTGATGCTGACCAATGACTTCTTGCAAATCTTCAACCTGAACATCTGAAAATCCCGGTGCTGGGATTGATAGCGCTGCCTCGACCATGTCCATTAGTGTTGCTGCGACGGACTGCCTCTCCCCGCTTGCCTCGGTCTGCTCTGCCCCGCTTACCTAGGAATTAGCGAACAAAGGCCTCCATGTGGGTAGCACTGTTGCAACATTGATCTTACGCCATGGCTCAACAATTCTGTCCACTGCATTTTAAATATTATATTTCTTCCAAAATTCACAAACTGATAACACTTCACGGTTGTGGGGTGGTGAGGTGCTAGGAGTCAGGTCACCTACCACCTCCTCCTCCTGATTTCACAGGTACGAGCACCACTTTTGATCATCTCAAGCATCTCTTGTTTCATTTCAAGGGTGCATTTCCTCTTCTTAACCCCCTTACAGTAGTCACGCTTGACTTGGAGCTTTCCTTGTTGACCTTCTCTACAGCCATCATTACCACCAGAACCGCTCCCAACATTTACATTACGCACCTCACTCACCGTCAATACACAAGAACCATTAATACACAAGTCGTTAATACACAAGAATCGTTAATAGTTCAACAAGAATCTTGCGAAACATAAGAACAATGGGTTATATAATCTGAGATCACTGCACCGCTCGCTCTCGATCATTCAAACTAACTGCCGTATACAAAAAGCTCACAGCGGATCGACGGATAACAAAAGGCCTTGACAGTGTGCGCTGCCCACTCTCCACTGACTCGCGAAACTGGTAATGAAAATTGCTATTCTTGAGAGGCTGGAAATTGTAAAATTGACACGAAACATATAAATCGTGAATCTAAAACTCGCTAAATTTGAGATCCTACTGTATTTGGGAATCGTCCAGATTGGATGAAACCCCTTCTTGTGAATATTGAAACTCCATTTCTTTCAGAGAGAAAGTGGAAAAACTATCAGATATGGGAGAGATAAAAAGTTGTACAAGTGATAAGAAGATGCAATATATTGCTACTTTCATCCTGCTGATCCATCACTCCTAGCACCCTCTATCCCCTTTCCACCACCTTACCCTCTCCCATCCTGGGTGGAAGACTAGGTCAGATAGACAGAACGGGAAGACATAAATAGAATATCAATGCTATAATCTGGCCCCAGTACCCTTGAGAGTCACAGGTGTTATTATCCAGGTGTCACTTTGATTTATATAATATAAATACATGTACAGTACACAAGGTACAGTATTATAAAAATCCCAAGCTTTACAAATCTGCATCTTCTATAGATTTGGATGCAGATGTGACATCCATTTCTACCAAGGAGCAACAACAAAAACTGATAATAACAGCAGGGATGCTGGGTGATGCTGAACAGCCAACGCCATCTACTGTGCCACAGCTGTATACTTATTTTGAAGTCAACTGGACAAATGGACAGGTTTTTTCGTATTTCTTTAAGTTCTTAAGCCGAATGTTCAATAGTAGAGGAGCACCTGTATTTCACTTATGTTTATTATTATCTTGTACTGTGTTGTAATCATTGTGTGCACCAAAAATTGCCAATAAACACATGTTTGTGGCATTTTAAGATATTGTCAGTGTTCTTTTTATAGGAATATATCTCACCTTATATAAAGGGTGTTTATGGGAAGTGTAATCTGATTAATGAAAATTGTATTTACAAAATGTTTTTGAGGAATCATTTCATAAATCATGGGAGGCCTATACTGTACTTATATGACAGCTGATATGAACATACTGGCCAATATGCACTGGGATGATGAGGAAGCACCTGATGTCTGTCTCCGGCTATAGGTGCTAATTTTAGCCAGATGCTTCTTGTCTCATGCTTACTGACAATTACTTATGTCTATACTGTATTCAAAGTTTGGTATAACATTTATAATTTTAATTATCTAGTTAAAATATTATATTACTATTGTCCATTACTATCAATAATTCATGGATAAAAAGTAATTTGTTTACAGTTGTACGTTTCAGCAATGCTGACTAAGACACACACGATCACACTCACTGTTCCTTATATTCTTGTGGAACATTGATTTATTGCCTTCATATTTTATGGTACAGTGTATTTGTGAATATTTATTACTGGTAACTTAAAGATGAACAAAATCTTTGTTACATTGTTTTCTATACTGGAAAGAGAAAACACTTACTGTAACCTCACAGAAATATTTCTGTCTTATGGAACACTGATGCTTTTTTGTTATAATGCTAAGTCATCATCATCAATGTTTTATGGCCATTTTCCATGCCTGTGTGAGTTAGCTGCAAATACCTAATGGCAGCTCTCCATGCTGCATGGTCTCTTTCAGTCACTCTTGTTAGGCTAAGAACTCTTAATGTTATTCTTGGTCCACTGCTAGCTCTCCTCCCACCTCCCCACATTCAGACTCAATCATCTTTTGACCTAGTTAATCTCATGCTTTCTCTCCACATGCCCAAAACATCTCAGCCAACCTCTACCCTAAATTTCATCAGTACTCTCAATACCTAGCCACCCACATATCTCTGAAAATGGTTTCCTGTCCTTCAGTGTCACATTACACATCCACCTCACCATTCTCACTTCAGTTTACTGAATCTTACATATGTTGTAATTATTTAACTGCTTGTTTCACTACCATACAATATCACACATCTCAAACTAGTTTCATACACCTTTCCTTTTGTGCTGAGGAAAAGTCCTTTTGCTATCAATAAAGGCAATTTCTCCCTAAAATTCCCCCAGTCACTTGTGATGCTGGCTTTAGCGCCCCTTCCAGCACTGATCACATATCACCCAGGTAACAGAACTTTTTAACAGTGTCCAGGGCTATATCCCTAATGTTGCCTTAAAGTCTGCAACATCCTACAGTCTGCTATCCACTCTTCTGTACCTCTGGTATACCCACCTTTCACACTCACTGCACATTATTGAGTTCCTGCCAACACCATTCTTAGAGAGAGCACATGGCCATTTTCCACAACAGGTCCATCACCCACACCATCACTCTTGAACCCTTTGACTCTATTGTGTCATTCCATTTCTTAAATTTCTAATCAGCATACAAGAACTCCCACGGTAAGCCAGTCCTAAAGTCCTGTGATATTGCCTCCAGCACCATGATAAAACAATAAACCCCTTATGGACCCCTACCTTTACCTCAAATTCCTCACCAATTACTCTTACAGCAGTTTTTGAGTCCTCACATAATGCCATAATCACTTGAGATGTAACCGACCACCCAAGCGGCTAACAAGCTGATTAGTGACAAAGAGGATAAAATAAAGTAAAGTAAACAATGGCAATAGTATGCAGTTGTATGCAAGGTGACTGATATATTTTGGCTTGGTTGTTTTTACATTGTATTAAATGTTTTTAACACTATTTATGCATCATATTCGGGTACACACAGACTTAGTATAAAACAGTGGATGATGCAGACGATGTAATGCAAAAATGCCTTGGCGCTGTGCCAGCCTGTAGGAATCTTAGCTAACAATGTAGACAGTATATGAAAACTAATAAATAAATGGTGATTACTATAAGTAAATGAAAAAGAAAATACTAATGTCAATTGGATCCTTCTCAGTGTGAGCTGGGTTGCAATGGGCTTGGGTAAGTGTGAGATAAACATGTCTCAGCTAGCAACCAATCAGCATCGCAGTTGCATCTCATGGCTCTGTCCGTCAATAAGCATTGAGTTTAAGGATGGATTTGGCCATTTTTCCTGCTCAGTACGTTATATGCATAGAGTTTTATTGGTACCCTGTACTGCGCTTTTCTGTTAGAAATTTACATTTCTTGTATTGGTAACAAGTTTTTTCTGCTTGTGATCTGCAGCCTAGTGAGTCAGGCTGCTCTCATACGAAACAAAACATGTGGAACTGTGGAAAAAGGTGAAAATAATACAATTGCTCTACTCATAAGTTTGGTGCAGTCATCACTGCCAGACAGTGTCTGTATTGCATTTTATCTTGTGTCTAGCAAAATATTGGTGGTCAGCAAGATTTATACATATTCCTCATGTTTTCTAACACCTGAAATGTCCATAAGCTTTCTCGTTAAAGCAAATTTTTCTTCTGAATCCCTAATTTTGTTTCATACTTTTTGGAATCTGTTAATGAGTTTCCATAATTCGAGCTCCCACAACTCATGGGATACCTACACAGTATTTGGATAATTTCACCTTATACAGTCGGTAGTTTGTATCTTGCTAAACAGCATTAAGGCAACCTCTTATGGATTAACAATATTGTATTGTTCGAGGTGAGTTAAACATAATCTGTGACTGGCACCTGAGGTAACATATGCAACCTAGTTCACGGTACATGTAAGGTAAAGCTAATTGTCTACAGTGAATAGCTTTTCAGATATTCAAAGCTGTTTAATATGACCTATTGGCTATTTATCTTTACTATGGCAGGAGAAAATGGCAAGAGGGAGGGAATGGTTAGAAAGATTTTGAAAGCAAATGAATGTGAGCAAGAACGAGAAAGATATAGATGGAATATAGAAGTTAATTGATGAAGTCAAGAGGTGTCACATTAATAATCTATGCCAGAAGCATGACTGTGCAATGTGAGGAAAGGAGTCATTTCATATATGGTGGTGGTAACAAAACCAATACTCATGTATGTACACCCACTAAAAAATTATTCGGCACCCGTGTCATATTGTATTATGCCGTAAGGGTGCCGAATAATTTTTTGTTGGGTGTACAACTTATTGGCACACATCAGGATGGCCTCTCTGGCCAGTCTGTACTGTACTGTACACCCACTAAAAAATTATTCGCCGCCCTTACGGCGTGATACAATATGACACGGGTGCCGAATAATTTTTTAGTGGGTGTACAGTGAAATGATATGAAGGATTGTAGATAAATATGGGTGCTAAGATTTATTTTGTCTTCTGCATAAGCAAGCTGAGAATATGAGGATGTATGTATAGATTAGTGACATAGTCAAGACCAACCCCAAGACTATTCACAATTTTAGACCCTCCAAGTGCTCACCTCAAGTTTGGCCCTTCAGCTTAACTGGCCTAAAGTTTTACCACCACAATACCATGTGGGGGGCAGGGAGGCTAATCTTTAGGCGATCCATAAGGGCTAAAATTGCAAATGGTCTCGTTCATGGTCTCGACGACATACACTACTACATCACTAGTATATAGGGATTTCCACTTGATATCTTGAGACTTTCCTGCTGCTTTCCACACTTGGCTTGCAACACTCTCCCTATTATCCCCATCTTCCCCTTTTCTTTGATGCTTCTTTATCCTTTGATCAACCCTACACAAAAGTAGGAGAGAACTTAAAATTTTAACTAGATACCTGGTAAATATTACTGATGTTTGACCGTGCACTACAGTCACCTCATGAAATATTCTCTTCCTATATCTGATATTTATACTATGGTATGGTATGGTATGGTATGGTATGGTATGGTATGGTATGGTATGGTATGGTATGGTATGGTATGGTATGGTATGGTATGGTATGGTATGGTATGGCATGGTATGGTATTACGGAAAAATATGACAATTCCAGATTTGAGTTTTTCCATGCCTTAATAAGACTGTACAATACTGGCCCCTCACCTTGGTTAATACTAACACTTAAACAACAAAAGTAACTGGATATTATAAAGAAATGCACAAATGAAAGGCCTTACTAAAATATCACCGTTACATTAAAGTTTAAACCAATTCCTATTACCTATGAAATAAACACAAATACAAACAAACAATTAACCTTGGGAAAATGCATCAAAGAACTCGTCATCGCTGACCGCATCAAAGAATCTCCGAGGCCTGGGCAGCGACACGTAAGAGTTTGCCGGGGTGTTGTAGATAGACGAGCCACTTGAAGATACATGTGAGGCAATAGACTCTTCCAGTTCATGATGCTCTGTGGCCAGCACTCTCAGAGACTCTTCCAACACGCGAACCTTCTCACGTTCCTCTTTCAGCTGAAGATCTCTAACCTTGAGTTATGGGAAAAGTTCAAACTTAGAATTCTTTTTATTTGTTTCTCTTATGTTAATTTCAAAGGAAAGGATTGAGATAAAAAACATTATTACAGTATAAACCTCGAGTATCAGACTAATTAAGCCACAGCAATGTTGTTACTCAAACACAATCAAACCTTTTGAAGGTTCCTGAGTCCCGATGTATGTACGTAATCGTATTTTACACACAGATATTAGCAAAATTTTCTATAATAAATGCTAAAAACAATACATAAAATACAATAGCACATATTTTATGTATAAAAAATTGCTCCTTCCACAACTGAACTACTGTATTTGATGGGTGACGTAGAGTGTGGGGAGTTCAGCCAGCCAGCTGACTTGAGAGATGTGTGGCTGCTGCACCGTGTACGCTGTGACGTCACATCAGGGAGAGCGTGATGCATCCATACATACGTTCACTTTCTACACAGAATAACTATCTACAAAATACTATTATATTTCCTTTATTTCTAAGGCACATTACATAAATCAGTGGGAAGTTAGCAGCATACCCATCTCAAGGACACAGCTGCCTAGCATGTGTGTTATGTAGTGACAATTATGCAGGTGTGTATGGGACCCACTTTCACTAAAGTGGATCACATTTCCAATATGCTCTCAGTATATTCAGTTCCAAGTTTCTGCATGGCTAGCACTTCAAGTTTATCCTTCATGGTAAGGCACTTCCTGCTCTTTGGGACCTTAATCGAATGTACTGTACTTGCTTGGGCATTGTTCTCACAATGTGTGTTACAAGTCATGAAAGAACAGGCATGTCTGCACTGAGTAAAAGCCACACATAGATTGAGTACAGCACGGCTGTATTGTTGTGGTGTGGGTAGGCTCATGTGGTCCACGCAATGTCGCTTCACATCATTAACCCACAAGATATTTTTTCATAATTAAAAAAAAAAAAAATCCAATACGTATTCATATTGTTACTCAGGCTGTCCTGTACTCAGGGTTTTTACTGTAATTTCAATAATAATTCTGCTAAGTTTGGTTATTTCATGCACGAGTAGGTCAATATTATACATACTGATTCTGGTTAATTCTGTGTGGGGAAGGAATAACATTTGTATATAAAACAAATTTAACCTAATTACCAGAATGGACAACTTATGTATTACATTAACATATAAAGAACATATGGGAACTCATAACTATTCCTACTTGCAATTATCTATATACCGGTATCTGTACAAATATATAAAGTAAAATGTTACCACAAATGAGGTACAAACACTCAAATGTGTTTCAACAAAATCCCTGCCACAAAAGTGTACAGAAGCACTTACTTGAAGAATCAAACTTAAGTGAAAAATATAATTTAAGTTATTATAACAATGACTCAAACATTGGTGGCAGCGATGGGGCAAATTGCAAGAATTAGTGAAACTCACAGGTGTAAGTGGCATCTATTGTGATATTTCTTTGTGTCCACTGAAAAGTTAATAGTAATGTGATTCAATACATTTTCATCAATATCATTAATGCAGATCATTAACAGGGTGGATCCAAGAATAGATACTTGTGGTACTCCACTGAGAACCTTTTTCCATTCTGAATGTACTCCAGTTATTACCACTCTTTGTTTTATGTCTTAGAATTCATTCTGACATTTTGCCAGTGATGCCATGTGCCTGAATACTTGGATCTTAGAGGTTAGCCATGCATGTTGAACTTTGTCAAAAACCTTACAAAAAATCCATGTACAATGTAAGCCCAGGTCCACTTAGTCTGTTACCATTTTAAGGAAATTTAGCAAGTTTGCCAGATAAGATTTTCTCTCCATGAAACTAAGTTGTGATGTGTTGCTACGATTTTGTATAGTTAGGTATTGGATGATGGAATCCCTCAAAATTTTCTTTCAACTCATTTTGTGTTACAGTAACCTCAGTTACCATATTATGAGTCTGAATTGCTATGATCTATTGTAAATTCTTAAAGTCATCCTGAATTGATTGTTGGAAGTCTGTTATTTGTTGCATGAATTTTCTTTTGTTCCTAATTTAAATTATCTACCTTCTCCTCATGATCTACAATCATAAACAACTCCTTAACTTAATACATACATTCTTTGTTCAGTGACAAACTCAAAAGACTTGCACAGCACCCCACAGTACAAGAATGTCCAACTAAAGCTCAGAAGACATCAAGTAGTCAGGATACAGGAAGATGGAGAAGACAATTGGACAAATCTTGAAAGGGATGGAAAATTTAAACCCAAGCAATTTTTTCATGAAGTTATATGCCAGACCATGAGAAGACACAACTTCAAGCTTGCCAATGTGTCTCTCAGGGCAAATAATGTATAAAGAAATAATTCTTCACACAGAGGGTAGTAGACCTATGAAACAGTCTATCAGCTCAAACTGTGGAAGTGAGAACAGTAATGGGTTTAAAAATAGCCCTTGACAAGATTATCAAGAACAATAGAGGGATTCTACATAGGCCACTGGCCTACTTTTCTTGGCACGACCACCCTTCGTTTGGAAGGCCATAAGGTAAATAAGGTAAGTGCCATTCACAACAATTAAATTTTTTTCTACTGAAGTTCCACATTGTAAGAAAAATTCATGCAATACAATACAGGTAAATCTGATGAAGTATTATTCCTGGAGTACTGCACTGGCATTTGTTGTTCCTACTCACCTGGCTTCTAGTCCTCCCTAACAATGCTTCATTCTCGATTTTTTCTACAGCCCAGTAAATCAATTCTCATTTGTTTTAACACAAAACTTCTTATTACACATCATAGTTTATTTCTTTTGGATGTTTTGTTAACACAAGAAGTGAAATTAAATAATTTTGAAGGTTTAAGAAAATTTTAGGATAACAGTTTGGGTCTGGAATGTAACCCCATTGTCACCAAAAGCTCAATTGATGTGCAGTCAATCCAAAATGTAGCTTTATGATTTTGTGTGAGACAATATGACACAACTGATGAAGGATTTTGACAACCCTACCAAGACAACAGGATCAGCAGTGTTCATTTTGAAATTCATCGGACTCCTCTGCAAAGATACCTTTTAGAGTGACTGTACAGTTTGTGATATCTCCACTTCACATGATCTTTAGGAACATAACCCCACACTGACTAGACTACTGTTTCTTTTCTATGTATAGTATATTTACCATACAAAAATAACATTAATGAAGTGTTGTCTTACCTCCTCCTGCTGCTTCATAAGGGACAGGCAGTGTGTGAGACTGGTGCTCATGTTGCAGGCTGTTCCTGCTAGTACTGAGAATCTCTGCCAAAATATAAAAACGGAAAGCGCTGTCAGAACTATTGAGGACACAATATTAAAATTCAATATACTGTATATATATTTTTTTTTACAAAGACCAAATTAAAAATAATATAAACATAAGGATGTAGTAACTCCATCACCTGCCCATAGCACAAAATACCCTGGAAACATGGAGCTGGTGACTTAACCCACTATATTCTGTTTGTTACACACACACACACACACACACACACACAAAAAAAAGTCTCAATATGCATGGATGCAACGAGGCTGTTAACAACGGAGTGACTGAAGTAAGCAGTTTACTTTACTAATCAAGATTAGCTTGAGATTAGTATTATTTTCACAAACACCTCAGACCTTAGAGAGGGATATGTTAGAAGCTGCAGTTGTCCAAAGAGTTGAAGCTTGAAAGTGACAATCACCACAAAGCACAAACCTGACTCATTATCCTCAGACTCAGTTGTACAACATAACACACAACCACCTATCATATTATCCTCAATGAATCAGAGTACAGTCCTCACATCTGAGGGTTGGTGACTGGAGTCATCCACTCTAAATGCTTAGGGACTATTTTAACCAATCCTCCAAGGTTGTTTTATTTCTATGAGGACCCAGTTTTCAATTTCATTCATCCACCCCAGTCTCTGCCTTCCCCTGGCCCTCCTACCCTCAACTTTTCCCATTAATATTTCTATTATTATCCCCTCATCCCTAATTATATGACCAAATTATCTTAGACTCTCAGTACCCTGGCTCAGTTATAAGCTGGGAGTTGAGGATGACTCCCTCATTAAAAACCTTGGCCTCTCTGGAATGACTCATGAGTACACATGAGTACAGTACAAAAGCCAGATGGTGAAGTGATATCCTCAAAGTGGTTAGCAGTTGAACACCTTCTAGGGTAGAACATTTCTATGCTGTTCTGATGCTCACTGACATTATGGATAATATTGAACCAGATCCCAAAGTCAAACTCATAAATGCTGGGTGAATTTAACTTTTACTACAACAAATGGTTGGTGTACTCTGCTCACACTGACCACATTGGCATGGAAAAGCATTTTGCTGCCTCACTTAATCTTACTCAACTAGTCAACATCCCTCCACAGATCCTTGATATTTATGGAAAAAATGGGCCTGGAAGATCTCTTTTTAACTAAACATCCCAACTCTAACTCTCTAAAGCTTTATTTCCTCTTGGCTCTTCTGAACGTTGCCTCATCTCTTTTCACAAAGCCCATCCAATAAATATTTGTAGAAGTACATGCTGGCATTACAGTCATGTAGGCTAGGACGGACTTTGGGATTTCTAGTTATCTTTTCCTTGGTGTCCCTTCTTTTATGATAATCCTCATTCTAATAATAAACACATCACTGATACCATCAAGACTGGAACGAGTGAATTTATACCCAATATAACATTCCAAAAATGTCTTAACTCCCCCAAATGGCTCAACCACTTCATTACATCACTGAGAAAAACAAGGAAGTGGCCTATACACTTAAAAAAAAAAAAAAAAAAAAAACACACACACACGCAAGAGATCAGGTGAAGGAAATTATTAAGTTATCCAAATTAAACTTTCAACATAAACAATCAACCAGACTCTTGAACAACCCAAACAATAGCAAACAATTCTGGTCCTTTAATGAATTCAGCTTTAACTTCAGTAGTCAATCCTCCATTCCTCCTCTCAACTCACCTGATGGTTCAGTGATCTCATACTGCCAGTAGTGGGCCAATCTACTTTCCCAAATTTTTGGCCTCTAACCTAACTCTGAAGATGTATGAATGGAAGACTGCTTGTCTGGATCTGGAGGTGCCTGAAATTTTGTCTCTCAAGTTAAAACAAAAAGTTTAGATAAAAACTGTGGATCTTCTAAAAACTGACAAGGCTCTCCAGGCCCACGTGAGATTCCTCTGCTTGTTCTCAGAAAGTTCTCTATTGAGCTTTCTCCCTTTTGTCTAAACTCTTCAGTCTATTTCTTTATGCTTCAACCTTCCCCACTTCATGGTGCCAATACACATCCAATCTCAAAGACAAGTGATAAATTTAACCTTCTAAATTACTGCCCAATTTCCCACAACCAAGAACTGCGCCCATAACAATTGACAGAGCTCATGCTACCAATTGGCTGCACCAGTGGGTTAATTGCCCTGTGTAGGAATGACAACAGGTTTCCTGAATTCCTTAATTATATCTAGCATAGAGTGGAGTCACATTAATTCATGGAATATAAATTTGTGGCTGCCTCTACATAATTATAATTTTGCGCTCAAATATTCAGAATTCGCACATATCAATTCAATGCTCTAATGTGACTAATAAATGAAGAAAATACAGTATAATAAAATACTGTATAATAAAAACTATAAAATTAGAAAAATGAAAAGTGAGAGTGAATTGTTTATGGGTGGTGGACTGAACTTCCCCTCCCTCTCACCCTCCCTGAGCCCTTGGCACCCCTCTGACCCTCATTAATACAACATTATGCAACAATTTCACCATAATTCCCATATTATATAGTCTCAATTGGTACCAGGTTAGTAAAACATTATTGTTAAGTATAAAAAAAAAACATTCTACCCCATACAGTATCAGTTAATATGTGGTATTAAATTCCTGGTTCTATGTTTACATAATGCAGTCACAGCCAACCCAGTGCCTGCCTGTCTGGATGTTGGTGTATTGGTGTTACCCAAGGATGATTATGAGAGGGGAATGAGTTGTTTATGTAATATAGATCAACTTTTTGTACAATATCTATGTGTGACTGTATTTATTATGTATTATGTTCAATGTTTTGTATTTATTACAGCAATTTTGGAACAGTTTATGGGTAGCAATCTCCCTGTTAGCCAGAACAATTGGTGCAGAGCGGTTCCATATTTGAAAGATTTCCTGGTATTGAGACAAATTTTCTTATCCTGAAAAATAGCAAATGTATGGAATTTATCCGGGCATTAGTGATTGTTTCTGCATCTAAACTATGCATATGGCATGGAGCTCTGTTGCTACAGAAGCTTAATTGCAGTCAGACAGACACAGAGTTGTATTCATTTATGCAAACACTACTGTACACGTTCAATATACACTACAGTATTTCAAATAAACCAAAATATACTGCTGTATACTACAGTATACAGTTGCTCCTCAACTTACGACGGGGTTAGGGACCCAAATCCAGGTCGTAAGTCGAAAATGCTTAAATAATACATAGAAAATCTAAAATGGGTGTCTCTTTTTCTTCTCAGCACCACAAAACTCTCACTTTTAAGCTTGCCAACCATTTTAAAGTGAATTACAAACGAAAATTTTGTCAGTACACAGCGCAATCACTAACGATGGGACTCAAAAATACGTAATTTGAGAAAATTTTGGTATAACTGAGGCGGTCATATGTCCGGGTGGTCGTAGGTCGAGTATGTCGTAAGTCGAGGAGTAGCTATACTGCACTCACCAGCAGATGCTGTCATCTTGAGCTTGTGATCCAGGCAGGTAAAATTTTAATATAATGATTATAAAGGATGGACTGCTTTGTCCTGTACCATCTACTGTGGCTGCTGGTGCTAGCTGTCACTCTCCTCTCCCTCCATGAAGGAAGGAGTGTACACACACTGTATACTGTACATACACCCCTTCATATTAGCCTACAATAGGCCATGTACTTTGCTGTTTATAGTATTGTACATATGGTACTTTCACACTTATTGAATGTACAGTACAGCATATATAGCTGTAATCACTTTTTACATCTTACCACTGCTTAAGTGGTATTCTTAGCTGTTGTTTCCTGGTACAGTAATGTACAGTGCAACGCAACACAGATCTTATGTGAAAACAGCAGTGAGTGAACAAGCTTGTAGAAAGGCAGCAAACAATGAACTAAGAGTGTCATGATGCGAGAGTTTGAGGAGACAGACTGCGAGATACATCAGCCAATCATAGGCATCCCTGCTGTCACATGAACAGTAGTAGCCAATTGTAGCGCACAAGCACTCTGAGCCTACCCACTCACATGATGCAATCACTTGCAAATTCAATTGAATACTGGAAACAGAGAGATTTTTCTCAGAATTTCTTGGAACACTAAAATTTTATTTTCCAGGTAATGGAAAGTTCTAAGGATCGAAGATTCCAGCTAACGAGGAGATTACTAGTTACAGTTTCTATACTTATTGGTCTACTTCACCACATCTACTCTTTTGGAAAGTGATATTTAAGATACAGTACTACTTTATTTTTATATGTTATATAGAGAAGTAGAGCTGATCACCTCTTATTAAAGCCTGTCTCCTCACAGTCAGACTGACATACACACTAAACAGGGTTCCTTGGTCACTGACTACTTTAATATTTAAGTAGTGTTTTTGTTCAATCCAGAATGCGACGTCTAGATTTATACCTAGGTATGTAAATGCCTAGCTTTAACTCGCCAGGCCAACATACAGGCTATTAAAACATCTAATAATTACTTAAATACATAATATCAGGAGGATACGTTGCTACCTGGCATTTAATTGCGATTTTTTTACTGCAAATATTACCAGTCAGTAACTAACAAAATAATCCGAGGCTGTTGTACTGTCCCTAGGAGAATGCTTACCCCAAGGGTTGAAAATTATTCAAGAGAGACAGAAATCACATATGACATCATCAAAAAAGAAAATAACCAAATCAAAAGAATTCCAATCTCCTGGAAGGGACAGAGCAGATATGAATGTGATAAAAGAGGTAGCAAACAAAATTTACACTCCACTAAAACTACTATTCAAGAAATCCCAATATCAAGGAAAATTGCCTAAGGACTGGAAATCAGTCTTCACCCCAGTATACATGAAAAGTAGAAAAAGTGCAGCAGAAAAGTATCGGCCAATCAGCCTAGCATCACATACAGTACCTACATGCAAACTTTTTGGGAAAAGGTTGAGGGATGCCATCATCCAACAACAGATTGAGGATAGTCTATAAAAACATTAAGAAAATTACAGACACTGTATAGTAATTAAATATGTTCTTAAAAACCTTTCAAGAGCTCTTACCTTAATAACATCATGTACACCACCCTGCTGTGAATGGTCAAGATCGAGGGAAGCCAAAGTGGCCATCACTTCCTCTACCTGTTGCTCCATCAGCTGCTGGTGGGCTGTGGCTGTTTGCAGAGCATCCTTACAAAAAGCAGAAAATTAAATTAGAATACTTGTGCAACAACACTCACACCTAATATTGTCTTCTTGTGTATAGATCACAGAAAATATATTCTTTTTATATACTGTAGTATGTAAACTAAAGACACATGAATACCTGTATATTTCTAATAAAACACTTTTCTTTCTGCTATAAGTTAAAATAATTGTTACCTGTATACTTCCAGTTCTTAGAGTGTTATTTTTTTTAAATCAAGAAAAATTAATTAAATTACTGTAACACAATTTCTTAAATTTTTTTGGTTAGTTTCAATTTCATGTGCCACAAGTAACTAGACAAATTTATTCAATAAAACATGAGCACAGACAGTTCCTCACATATTAAAAAAAATTATTCCTGCTCTCATGAGAAATTATAAGTACAGTAAATTTATCTAATAAATAATTTCATATGTAAGAATATTAACTTACAGACATACAGCCAAGGGGTTTGACCGTTCTGTCAACAATGTCATCATCCTCGTCATCAACACAGAGACCATGCTGAACATAATGCGTTGAAAACCTGATGTGGTTATTCAGTACGGCTACCCATTTCTGTAAGCATAATAGGACAATATTTCTCATTTTTATTCTTTCAAGCCATTTCCATATGTGCAGCAGAAAAAAAAAAGCAAACCTGCAGAGCCTTGCTGTTCACAGGGGTTGTGTTCTGGAAATTACCATGAACCACATTACAGTGAAGTCACGATAATTTGGGATTTTCATATCGCTCGCTCACGTAAATTCATGGGTACCTCTATAGGAATACTCCGATTATCACAAAGGATGCTGTCCTAAAAGTCAGAGCAAATAACGAATTTGCAAATATCGGGGCAATTTTCCTACATAATATTTCATCTATATGGGGAAGGGGGGTGGGGTGCATTCCCAGCCAGCAAATTTCACCTCATATTTTTTTATAAACACTTCTCATTATCCGACTCTATTAGGGACTAGCATTGCATGTACAGTACCCTGTATACTGTAAATGTGAAGAATAAATAATAAATAAAAATTTTACTATTAAATAAAGTAAAAGAAAAAAATGCACTGCATTGCCAGTTGGCAATACAGTCCTGTAGTTTCACTACTACTTGCGGGACATGGGAGACTGGAGTGACTGAGATCTCCAAAACTATTCCCTGCTCCCACAATCCTCGTGCTCGGGGTAAGGGAGATGTTGTAAGCATGACCTTAGAGATAAGAACCTGATGTGAGAGGCTGCAAGAGACTGTGAAGCATGAAAAGGTGCTACAGGTTGTACCTCTCTAGTCCGGCAACCTCGGGACCTGACCGGTGCCGGATCATGGAAATTCACCCTTTTCCTGAACAGATAGTGCCTTGCGGTTACGTTAGCACCACTTTCACTGCTTCGTGGTCTCTTTGAAGACATATTGAAGGGTTAAATATCGTACAGTAGCTTCTCAAATTTTGCGAGTTTTTAATTCAACATTTTTTATTTGGACACAAAAAAAAACACTACATAATTTCAAATTTTGACGGCGGAAACTTGAATTTCGACGGGTTTGAGCGGTCCGCCAACGTTTAGGCGTGCACAATCGTGTAAACAGCGTCATTTGTCTTATGTACAAAAGATTCATTATTGTTTATTACTGAATGTCTTTTTTATTGAATTAATGTTTATGTGTGCAAAATGAGCAATACAATTCATTAATAATACGTAGAACACACGAGGATATGAGACAGCATTGTTTTCGTTGATTACAAAACCAGTGACTGAGTGGTTCTACATATTAAACAAGAAAATAAGACCCTGGTTGTAGCTGTAGTAAAATTAATGCAAAAAATTAATATGGTTGTTTTAAGTAATGTTATCTAATGTTAATAAATAGAACAATAAAAGTAGCAAACCATTAATGTTAAAGAAAAAAAGTAAGACTGCGCATATGTAAGTGCGCACATGTGAAAAACATATCGTCATTACTCTACATAAGAATATGAAAGCTACACTTATTTACTGTTCATATATGTTTTAATTAATGTTTCTGATTTTTTTTTATTGAATTAATGTTTGTGTGTGCAAAATGAACAATACAATTCATTAATAATTCGTGGAATATTAAAACACACGAGGAGACGGCATTGTTTTTGTTAATGTTTACAAAACCCGTGACTGATTGGTTCTACATATAAATCAATTAAATAAGACCCTGGTTGTAGCTGTAGTAAAATTAATGTAAAAATTAATATGGTTGTTTGAAGTAATGTTATTTAATGTTAATAAATGGAACAATATAAGTAGCTAACCATTAATGTTAAAAAAGTGAGATCGCGCATGTAAGTGCGCACATGTGAAAACATATTGTCATTACTCTACGTAAGAATATGAAAGCAACACTTATTTACTGTTCATATATATTAGAGAGTTAAATGTTGTATTCTGTACAGACAAACAGAGAGAGCCGAACTGCTGGATGTAAACAAACCTTAATTTCCCACGGCTTTGTTTTTTTTTTTTTACGGGGATTAGCCCACCCGGGCACAGGTCACTGACCCACATTGGAGCCTGAGGGGCGAAAATGTAATACTCCTGTAATAATAATAATAATAATAATAATTCAGATAAAAAAAAAAAAAAAAATTGGGCAAACTAAAATCGTTCCGGTCCACGGGAGTTTCCGGACCACAGAATGCCGGACTAGAGAGGTACAACCTGTATCAGGTACTCACAGCTAACCCACACAAGCATGGAAATTGATCATAAAATGATGTTCAGTTAAATGCCAGCTTAAATGTTTTCTTGTGTATTGAGAGCTAGTAAGAATGAATGCACTTAGTTTTTGTTTCTCTACACTTTATCAGGAGAGGGCTTGCAAAATTGCATGTGTATTTTAGTCTCTTCAATTGTAAATATGTGTTCCTCACCTGTCTGTTAATGGATGCTGGGTGTAAAGGGTCAGGAGTGGCTGCCAAACGGTGACAAGTTCCATCGTTATACTGGATGACGAACATGGCTCCGTCACCTCCCACCATGGGTATGACCTTGCTATTATCTAAGTACTTGTAGTCCCTTCTTCTTACACCTGAACTGGCATCTGCTCGACTATTGAAAAAAGTCAAAACCCCACGTTCCAAAACACCCTGCAAATTGTAAAAAAAAATGTGCATGAGTGACCAAAATTTTCCTGTAAAATAAATTACAGTACATACTCTGAAAACTGCTGGACTGACTCTGAAATCACATTTCAAGTCTGAGTCAACTATTTAGTGAGCCAAGCAATTTGCTCACCCTATTTTTTGGATTCAAGATGCAAGAAACCCCAAATCCTAGAAACCACAAATTTCTTACTAAAAAAGAGAGATAGTAGGTGGAAAAGCTGCCCCTGATGAAAAGTGAGGGCAGAAGGCTAGTTGGGTTGTGACATACACTGTTGATATACCTCCAACCTTCACTGTTTAAAGGTCAGGCATATTAAACTTTATCAGGTACAGTACCTCTGTTCCCCAGCTTACTCCCATTACTCACTGGAAAAATTCACCGAGCTGTAGGCTCAGTCATAAAATAAGATTTCAAGATCAATCCTATACGTATACTGTATTGTAGTGTATATGACTTAATGCAGTCAGTTCTCCTAACATGAATAGGTCATAATGCAATGAATGTACTGTATTGGGGAGCACAATTTTAAACATGGATGAGAATTGGATATAACACGACTGAGTACAGTGGGGTATGCTATAACGAATCTAATTGGTTCTAGAACCTTGTTCGTTATAGCATTCGTTCGTTTTAGGATTAATCCGTTCCAGGCCCCCAAATATAACCACTTAACACTGAAAAATATAATATAAAATTGTAAAAATTGTAAAAAAGTGCATAAATATGCATCTAAACCCCTGAAATAAAGAGTATCATTAATACTTGTAATAAAAAAACAATAAATTAGTAAAAAATATTTTTTTTTTTTTTTTTTTTAAATAATGTTCGTTGTCGGAGTTTCGTTCGTTATAGCATTCTCAATTTTATAGGTAAAACCATTCGTTACAGGAATATTCGTAGTAGGATCCGTTCGTTATAGCATACCCCACTGTAAATGTAACTACAGTCGGCCCTTCAGATACGCGGGTTTAGCATACACGGATTCGCAAATAAGCGGATTGCCCTGCCGGAGGAATATTCTGTACATTGAAGTAATTGAAGTACATTCAAATCGCGCGCGGCACCACGCACCGCCCGCCACCCCCCCACACACACACGCGTCACGCCACCCGGCGCTCCCTCACTCAGTCAGTCTCGCTGTAACCACGCTTGTGTTGACATCAGCATTGTAGGTCGACCCTGATTTTTTTTTACCAAAAAATCAGTTAATTTATGATATTCCTTGTTTATAGGTCGACCCAAGTTTTTGAGGGTATTGGTACAACAAAACCTTCAGTAAAAACACTCTACGTCCTATAAACTGAGGCTCGCCGTGCCTGAAACACAGAGTGCCATAGGCAAATTGTTTACCATTTATTTTTACGAGACTTTACACTGAAGCCCGGGTAGTTTCAACAAAAATATTGTATAATTCCATTCAAGTAGTTATTCAAGTCAATTCGGAGGGAATATTATTGTAATACAACAGTTTTTTAACTGAAAACCAGTACTGTACTCTAGTACAACAATTTTTATCTCTTGAGCAAAATATATGACGTTTATATTCAAATTATTGGCTGTCTTGCAAGGATTCCAGCAATGCAAATTATAATCTCCTAATTTTAGTCTGAGATATTATACAAGATAAAAACTATAAGCCTAAATAAAACCCCGGCTGAGCAGATTAGGGAGGGAGGGACGGAGCCAGCCAGCCAGCGAGGGGTGGGTTGAGGTGATATGTTTGACAGTTTGAGCCGAAGGTCTCTGTGTGTTTATTTAACAGTCCTACTACGCTTCTCCCATTTTAAAATGCCACTGAAATGACCTGGGAGAATATAATTAACATTGCTGGGATTCTTGTAAGACACTGATTAATTTGAATAGCAACATGCTCTAATTTGCACTTGACATAACAATTTTAGTACCGTAATGAAATTAGTACATGTACACTCCAGCTTTGCACTAAGGTCATTTATTTCTTTTAGTACAGTGTGTGCATGTAAATGGATGAAAATAAATGAAGAAAGTTATGTAAATCTACCCAAAAATACAGTTGAAAACTTTATACTATATTATAAAATGTACTGCACAGTATTGTACACTAGTGTACTACATTTTTATATCTTGAGCAAAATATATGACGTTTATAATCAAATTATTGGCTGTCTTGCAAGGATTCCAGCAATGCAAATTATAATCTCCTAACTTTAGTCTGATATATTATATAAAATAAACACCTTAAAGAATAAAGTTATCACCAATCTTTTGTCTGGGAACACAAGGAGGGAGGTAGCCAGCGAGCATGGGGGGAGGGGGGGGAACAGGGAGGGAGGCGGGGGCGGGAGGTAGGGTGAGAGTGTGGTGTTTGTTTATTTATTTGAGATAAGATGTGACAGTTGGCACTGAAGGCCTACTGTTTATTTATCATTACTTAAGAGTGACTAAGCTCTTCTCATAATTTGCCACCCAAACGACCTGGGTGAATATAACTTACATTGCTGGGATTCTTGTAAGATAGGGATTTATTTGAATACCTGTATAAACAATCTATATTTGCAATAGACATAATTTAAGTACCGTAATCATTTAGTACATGTACAGTACAGGTTTGTTCCACGGTAAAATCTTTTGAACAACGAAAGAAAGCAAAAGTCATTGTTTTTGTCATAATTTTATCCCACTTTCCACTGTAATACGTACGTCATTTCTGAAAAAATATTACATTTCCATATTTATTTCTGAGAATATATTCAATCAGTCACAGTTAAGGTAAAATATACTTGTGATGTAACGTTTTAATGAAAATACCCGGTATTTAGACATACGGTATCTTAGTTTTCTTTTGTTTCAAATTTAATTAACAAAGATTGATGTTTCAAATGTAATGAAAAAAAATTTATGTACAGTATTTCTATAAATAAACTTTAAAAAATGAATACTTTATGTTTTACATCGTCCTGTGCATACCATACCATGCATTTGACTACTTTGGGCTTGCTATGATGACGCAAGAGATCTGCCCTGGCAACTGTACCGACACTCACAGCTGGTGGTGCGTTGGTGCGTCGTTTCCATTGTTTACTGGTAGTTATTGGTAAATATTTTTCAACCTTACGAAACTATTACCCGTTTAGAGGTCTACCCCCAATTTTTTGCCAAATAATTTGGTCTTAAAAACTCGAACTTAAAAACTCGAAGTATATATGGTAAATAAGGACATGGGGGACCAGAGGTTTTTTTTGGGGGCAGCAAAAGTACACGGACTTTTAACATTCACGGGTATCTCTGTTACCTAACCCCAGCGTATGTTAAGGGCCTACTGTATGTTGCTCAAATAGGAATAAGTACAGTAGTTACAAAGGTGCCTCGGCATAACATCACACAAGATGGGAAGTGAAGTGAAAAAAGAAAAGCTATTATAGTACTGTACTCTTGAACAAAAACTTTATCATCAGAGTGATTCCATCTTCTTTTCCACCAGTCATCTCAAGCAGCCATCTTCTCTTGTGGTGAATGTTAAATCATTTTTATAGTTTACAGTACAGTATTTACATTTTTTAAGTTTAAAATTGTTTTTATTTAAAAAGGTTTTATCATTAAAAGCATTTAATAATTTATTTGCCCTTGGCAAAACATGATTTGTGGCCCCCCCCCTTTATCTCACAGAAAAACGTCCCCCTCCCGCCTCTCCTCAAAACGAAAGCATTTCAGTATTAACAATTTGTTATTACTGCATTTGTTATTACTTTAGTATTTTACATCTCATTAATATTTCTAAAATCTAGGAACTAGAATTTTTGCTTCTTGGTTTTCTTTGAAGCAAAATTGTCTTTAATGTCACCATATGACATTTGTCTCCCAACAGCATTATTTATGCTAATGACAGCAAGCCCTGTAAGCCTATCCTGAGCTATCATAGACCTTAAGTATGTTTTGATAAGCTTAAGCTCCGAGAAATTCCTCTCTGCTGCAGCTAGAGTTACATGAAAAGTGACTGCTACCCTAATGGCTGTCCACATGTTTGGATAAAGCTCTTTAATCTCCTTTTCATGTATATATTTAAGAAGTTCCAATGCGGTCGTACTATCAGAGGGTAATTTTGGTAGATTTCTCATGTCAAAGGCCAGTTCTTTTCCATCAATATCTAACTCTCCACCATAGCTCAGGGAGTCACTCAGCTCCTCATATTGTCTTGTGAGTGAATCAAAGGACAGCTCTTTGAAGTGAAAGAGAACTCTAAATTTGTCTCTAACTTCTCCCAGGCTCTGGAACCTTTCATTGAGTGATGTGATGGCAGAGTCTACCACCGTATTGACAAAAGACACTTCTAATCTTTTCGAAGCATCAGAAATTGGCTCATCTGGAGCTTCATATCCAAAGTGTATCTTTGTCATTCCAAGTTTCTTTTTCTTTAACACAGCCTCCATATTCATTTCCTTGCACATGTTCTTAGCTGATGCTTGTGCTGAGACAAATCCATTCTCACAGTAGCTCACCAGGGATGCTTTAGTGTTCTTGAGTAAGCCCATAGCCACATCAAGCTGCATGGTAGTAGATTGCAAGAGTTTGCCCACTTGTATTTTTTGCAGAATTTCATACCATACCACGGTGCATATAAAACAAATGATAAGACCCAACTTCCTCAACCAGTGACTGGGCCTCTATACTTGTCACAGGGTCTGTGACTTTGTTCCTCATATCCAGCAGTGCCTCCCTTACTTGCTTAGTTTGATAACGCACAGAATCTATAGCTTTGATATGGTTTTCACACCTTGTATCTGACCATGATTTCAAGATGTCTACCATGTTCTTGAGTATTGCCCATTGCTGTGTTGCAGCTGAAAACATAGCAAACAGCTTCTGAAGAATTCCAAAGTACCCTAATGCATCTTGGGAGCTTTTAGCTGCATCAGCCACCACCAAGTTCAGGGTATGTGCACCACAAGGCACAAAGAGTGCACAGGGATTTATAGCCAAAAGCCGTGCATACACTCCCTTGTTT